CAATTGCGAAATTCGATTCGGGAAAACACGTTTCATCATATCGTTAGCATGGCAGATTTCATTTGTAGTTCAATATTTTCATTTTGGTTTCGATTTTTTTCATCAACATAATTATAAGTTTAAAATAATTTTGGTTTTAAAAAAATTTTCATTGAGGTTTTTGTTTTTTTTTTCGTTATTTTTAATGTGTTTGTTTTTGAGTCACCAGCATTTGGATTGCAATAAGGAATCGTTGAAGAAGCACCAGACCAGTAGTGTACATGTTGTAGCAGTTAAAACAAGCAGTAGATTAGGCAGAGATCATCATCGACCGATCGTTTTTATGTGTGAAACAGTTGTGATACGCACCAACAGGTTGAAGACATCGGTTGCAACATTTACATTCGATCAGTAATTGTAGGCGGCAGTTTTGCAGCGTGAATTTGAATAGCGTAAATGCCATAAGTGTGTTTGGTTGTGTTTGTTCGCATTTGCGTCCCATGTACAATTTTATATGATTTTCGATTACAATTATATTTTTGGGGAAGGAAAATGTGTGTTATTTTTTGTATGTAAAAGAAATTCGAAAACCAATTGACATATTGTGTGCGTGATAACGCAGCATATTTGACGCAAGCGATTACAAAACATCAATAATAACAACAACAGCAGCATACGCATTATCATAACGCGAAACATAACCGCATCATTGCATTTGCAACATTTTCGATCACAATCGACACGCGTCAGATGGAACAATTGAACAAAATAGAGGTTCAGTTCAGTGCGATTTAGGGTTTTTGTTTTTGTACATATATATATGGAGAAGAGAATAAAAGAAAGTAAACAATTGCTAATTAGAAACTTGGAATTAATTATCCAGCGTATAAAGTACAACAAATTAATTTTGTTTGCAAGTCTTAAATTATAAAATATACATTTTATGAAATAATTCATAAATAGATATACGCTGTTTGACATTGGCTTAAAGTTAATAGTTGGAAGAAACTAAAAGAGCTAAAGTATTTGTGGTTGCATTATGTTGTATTACACAACATTATTGCATACAATTCATATTAAAGCTAAGTGTACTTTTTCTTACTATATTATATAGAAAAATTATAAGGTACTGCTAAAAAAAATTGTGCACTAATACAGAATAATTTCATCTCATCTCCTCTCTTGTGTACTGTAAAAATATAGCATTTAAAATGGACAAATGCTTTTTACTTGAAAGCCTCCAATGCACAATCCTTTTACAATTCGTATCAATTTATAATTTGAGTAGGTGAAAAATATAAAAAGCTACACATTATATTAAAAAAAAAAGTTTAAGTACAGTATTTCTCGTTAAAACTTCAATACTTTTCGGCTTTAAAGTACAAAGTGAATTTCAAGTATTATAATTTGTTACAAAATACAAAGATATATTTTAAGTATTAAATCAACTGATACTTTGTATATCGCATGTGTGGCAGATATTAAAAAATCCTTTTGTTAACAAATTCATAATAATACAATACAATTTGTACTTCTTCTAATCATTTTTAATCACTTGTGTTAATTTTTCAACATAGTATATATAGTTTTTAGAAGGCGTTGTGAAATATACCTTATTCATTTTAGAACACACAACCACTAAGTTTAAGAAGTCAACAGAAAATAGTTATTATAAGGAATCATTTCGTCTGCCACACATACGTTATACATTAGTTAGCACTTCTGCAAAACTGTTCCAGTCTGCATTCAGCCTTTGTACTAACGTGAATAGTGAAACAAATAAATAACTTTAATAATTTTTAAAACTACAACTAAAAACATGTAAAAGGGGAAAAAATCATATACATACCGGTCCGCCGCGTTGATTGCGATTGCCCATGCCGCCTCCACCGCCGCGTGGCAGATCCAAGAGAGATGGTGGGTTTTGGTTTCTGAACAAGTTGTTCAACAAGTTATTAGCCAAGTTAATGGCCTGAGCATTCATGCCTTGGCCACCGCCGCCTTGACGCATGTTGCCACCGCCAAAATTACCTCCCGCATTTGGTGTATCCCATGGCGACATGTTCATGTTTCCCATACGATTGGTACCCATTGGGCCACCACCATAATTATTACCGCCGAAATTGCGGTTGCGATTCTGGTTACCACGGAATGCCATTTTCTTATTTGTATTGTTATTAACCTGTTTAACGCTATAAAAAAATTAAAATAAAACATATTAGATTATATAAATATTTTGTTTCTAAATAATAAAAAGTATAAATAGTTATAAAATTATTATTATTAAAAAAATTTAATTGCCGCTAAAGCCGCATAGTCTTCTCTGCATACCTGGGAGACATTTGGTTTTGCAAAATTTTAAAATTTAGAATTTCCAAAAGTTGAAATAATAATAATTAACAAAGCACAGATACAAAATTGACTAACATAGAACAAGCTTGAAGGCTAGTACTTTATTAGTTTTCTTTCTAGAGGATTAGCTAAATGCAAATGCTTGAAATATATCTGAAAAACAAGAAGAACAGCACAAGGTGCGCTATATATTACCAGCAATAAAATGATAATTAATTTTAGTATTGAATATTTACATTAGAATTTTGTTGTAAAATTTTTAAAATTGTTAGTTTGCTCCTTAAACAAATGGTTATTATATATTTAATGGGAAACAAAAAAAAATATATATATAGAAGCTTGGCCGCTTTTTCCACATAATGTGTATGTACATTAATTTTACGCGCGAACAACAAAAGTGTAGATACCTAAGCAAAAGCGGGAGAACGAATATAAACTCGTTCGCGTGATTATTTGCCCGAACGAGCGAACATTCTTGCCCTGTTAATATAAGAGGAAAAAAATTAAGCAAAATGGCTTAAAGCACAAATACAAGTGTGAATAACCTCATTTTTATAGAAATGTATTAATCACGTTTTTACGTCCTACGAATAGATGAACCTTAGATATATAAAATGGTAGTTTTGAAAAAAAAAATAATGAGAATAAACCGGCCGGCATTTGGTAAGATACTGCAATGAAGAATCTCCATTGGAGATATTAAAGAAACTTTCACAATCCTTTTCTAGAATGTTATCTAAGCAAGTCAGTGGTTGAGTCATATTTTCACATTTTTCATGAGAATTTTGCGAAACTTGTCAAACAAGTAGTAAATTGTATACACACAAAACAATTTGCAGAGAATGGTTGTAAAAAAGGAAAAAAAAGAGAATATATGTAAAGGCGAAAACAAGATGGCGCCTTCTATAATTAATTTTCTATAACCGAATTTTTTTTCTCAACTCTTTCGAATATTTTATAAATCAAAACTTTTCATATACTTTTTCGGAAAATTGCAAATGTATAACACGTAACTATTTGGCCGACAACTTAAAATAGCCCCTTGAAAATTACGACTCGTATAGTAGACTGTACTTTTCTTGACGAGCGGGTCAATAATCCAATGATTCCTTTAAACATCGATTTTTGTTTAAATTGTAAGAGTATAATTTATGTAATCAATTTAAAAACAAAAAAAAAAAGCTATTTAATTATCATAACGACTTAATATTACAAGCATTTTACTTTAAAAAAATCTATAATTTCACCAGTATACATACTAAAATCTATGCGAAAAACCCATACCATAGAAGAAAAAGTATTATGTTGTATTACAAAACCTTATTCAAATAATAATTTGCTCACCTTCTGACGAAGAATTAACTTTCACAGTATTATATTAAGATATATTTGTAAAATTTCACAATATTTCTTCAATTGAAGAAAATTAAAGATGGCGACGGTGTAATTTTATTTTTATGAACAAAACCGCGCTCACGCACAAGTATTACACGAGCAACGAACGAAGAACGAATGAAGAAACAACATCGTTTGGAAAACTTCGAAAGCAGTCGTCTGGCTGTAGCAAACGAGCGAGTAGCCACAGAGCATAGCCAGCTTGTTAATTTTCAAATCTATATAAAAGTATAGGTAACACTATGTTTACAGATAGTTTTCTAGTTTGAAGAGAAGTCGTTTTGTGTTTAGCACTTTTTTACTATTTAGAACATACAGTCCAAAAAAAAAGTTTTGCATACAAATCAATCACTGTTATTTTAGTAAAAGATTGCCTCCATTTACACTACAATTTAAAAAAAAATTTGTTTTAATTTTACTTGCAAGTTGCAAGTTACAAAATGAACCAAACTATATATATTATTCTTAATCAATTAATATATTTTTTTTATGAAAGGAGCGAGTAATTGGCTCAAATTATAATTTAAAATTTTTGCTTGTTGCAACTCTGTATCAAAAAATTCTTTGGCGGAAAAAGAAGAGCTGTCAATAGTCTCTCAAATATTTTCGTATAGTAATTTTCAGTAAGGAACTAATTAATTAATTTCTTATTTTAATTTTAATTAATTTCTAATCTTGATCCATTTCTAGTTTTCCATCAGAACGTGTAAATTGTTTCGGTTAAAATTTTTATAAACTAATTAATATTTTCTTCAGTTTTCAAATAATTTCGTGTTTGCAAACTTGAGCTTCTGCGTGGAAATGGCGGATAACAGGTAACGAGTGGCTAAGGAAATAGCTATTACGATATTCAAATTTTATTATATAAATAAATTTTCCTCTTTGCTTGAATCTACCAATTAAGCTACAGAATACATGATTTTACAAATTTTCTTTCATATAGGAATGACTTACATTATAAAGTTTTATCATCAATCATTGAAGAGTAAGGTTATGTTTCCAACATAAAAATAAACATATATTGAGTAGATAAAAGCGTTGAAAGTGGAACTAAAATTAGTGCAATTCATTAAGCTGAAAGTGTTTGCTATTTTCTATACATTTTAAACATATATACATATTAAACATGAAAAACGCATATTCTAAAGTATTAGATTTGAGAGAAGTAATACGGCAGCGTTGGTAAAATGTTCAACTCAACAAAAAAAAAACTGCTACTCGTTACTTTTATACAAACCTATTGCCATATTCAGCTAGCGTATATAATGCTATGAGACGCTAGATGGCGCTCGTTCGTCTTAGTGTTTCTAGCTTTGTTTTGAATAAATATTTGTATAAACAGCAATTTAACTCTAGTTAACTTGTAAAGTCTGCATAAAATTATACTTCAGGATAGATCGCAATCGTATATGTGTATGTATTCTTATTTACCTACCTTTTTTTTAAAATAAAGAGCATTTCCCATACCGTGTTTATGGAAAGACCTGGAGTTTTTTTGGTTTACCAACCTAGTTGCTACATTGCACTAATTGTTGTGAACAATTAAATTAATAATTGAAACTTGATGTGTTTGCAAGTATACATAGGTATTTAATTATATATTCTATATATTTGTTGTTGTCCTTCGCTTAGCTTTTCCAATGCAGGGACAGTTTCGTCCGCGTCCCATTACAAAATATACAAAATGTAGTACACTATGTGCAACCAAATCGGGTACCTTTAAATATACATATATTATATAATTTAAGACACCAATGTAATTATCTAAAAAATGGATGTAGAAAGCTCGTTCTTAATGAAAAATGGAACTAGATAAGCTTCTGTAAATCTGTCGCATTTTTTCCTCCTATTTTATTATTTTGCCTAATATTTTTACAAGCCATAAATACAGAACACCAGCAGTTTATTTTCAGTTGAAGTATATTTATTTTATCAACATCAATTTTACAATAATTTTTATTTAACCAATTATCATAGTATAATTTATTTAAAATGTTAATCATTTCAAGGTTCCTTCCAGCAAAAATATGCATTTTTTCAAAAAACTTTCATACACTTTTCTTGTGTATCTAATACAATTCCTTTTTGCCGCTGTAAAATTCAAGCATATATACTGCTTAAACTGTAGATATACATATAAATACGGCAAAAATGGTTTAAACAACAAAAAAACATACATACATACATATATTAGGATAAACCACGCAGCCTTGTTTAGTGAATTTATGCCTGTGTATTGTTTTATGTACTGTGATTAAAAATATTAATGTATATTCGTGTAAATGAATTTATAAACATTATAGACACAGCAAACATTTATCACAAAACAATTTGAAATACATAAAAACATTAAAATTTCTTTTGAACATATTTTCTTTTTTTTTTGTAGTCATTTTGCTATTTTATTAGTATATTCTAGACAAAATTGTAAATTCGTCTTTCCGGCAGCCGCCTTTATGTCATTGTATACCTGTAATCGCCTGTGTGTAAATATACATACATACATGTTCAATATATACCTACTTATTTCTCATACAAAACTTCCCTTGACATCTTCTATTATACTATAAACATATGTAGGTATAGATACATATACATATATCATAAACAAATAACGTATGTATTTCCTACAACTCTAGAAGTGAATAAAGTCATTTAGCCGAGCGCATTGCCAACAACAGCACATACAGATATGATTATGTATACATGCAACTATGTATGTGTGTGGATATTACCATTGTGTCTTTTCAAGGATGGGGTTTTTTTAATGAAAAAAATTTTCATTAAAAAGTTAGAATATAATTTGCTAAAATTGGAAATTAAAAATTGAAAATCTACTAGTTGCTTGGGATTCAAAATTTTCTAATTTTCGTTTAAAAATTAATCATATATATAAATCGAAATTGAAATTCTAAAACTATTTTTATATAAATATTACAATAAGCGTGTGATTAAAATTTTTTTAATCCGATATTTGGGATTTAATATTAGCAAAAATTGTTAATTCAATTATTTTTGAATTGCAACCCTGTATGTACATAAATAATAATTATTTTTATAATTTGTGTGATTTCGAGTCGCTTCTCCGCGTTATGGGTCTCGATAATCGTTACAACAGTAATAATAACATTTCATCAAGTATCTCCGACGTTTTATACTAAAGAACATTGACAGGGAGCATTCTTTCTCATTTAATCCAGAGTACCACTTGTGGAGAGAGCAAAGTAACTATAAAAGTATTAACTAGTGGTATTAGAACACCCCAAATTACAAAAAAGTTCAGATATCCGTTATCTAAGATCTTATTTCAGACCGTTCCAATGACATTCGTGTTCACGTTACCGGGACAGACTCGGTTTTTCATCCGGTTAAAGACTGTCAAGGTGGCAGCATTATACAATATTATGTGAGAAAAATTTTCTGCCGCTACAACAACAACAATTATGATATTTCAAATTATGTTGGCTAAATTGACTGACTTTTTCTCCACAAAATTGAAATTTCTATAAATCGAGAAGGCCAGGACCGCATATTGGAATCAAGCTCCAAGTAAATTCCCTTTTATACACTTAGAAGTTACTATTACAACAACGAAAAGCTCCGTTATGGTGATTAAGATGAAAATATAAATTATTAGATATACCATAGTTGGAGAGTGAGAAATTTGAGGTTAGAATTCGTTCTTGAAATACAATATTCGTGAACAGGCAAGTATTATATGACTTGTATACATAACTCATTTAGTAAATATGTGTTTTAAATTTTAAATCAACAACAAATGCATAAGGAGTGTTATATAGTGTCAAACAAACAAGCTCCTCTTTATCCTAGGTACAACATATTACGTGCTATTAATATGCATAAGTATGTATGTTATTTATTTCATATTTCCTCAGCTGCTTCTATTCATAAATACTTTTATTGAAGCTTAGCGCCGCTCGCAACCGATTGCGTATGCGCGGCGAGGTCCAACGTGAGCCTGGCGCCGGTCCAGTGCCATAATTTGAAACAGCCTTTAGATCACAAGGCGATACACCTTCGTCGACATCGTCGGCTTCAGTTTTGATTTCCATTTTCTGTAAGAAATATAAGTATATATACATTTTTCATAAAACTGCCTTTTTCCCCCACCTGCACGATCAAGCGCAAGAGTTGATGCTGCTGATCCAATAGACGTGATATGTCACGCAATTTACGACGCTGACGCTCCAATTCATTGTTAATGAAATCATCGTTGCTCTCGAATGAGATCGTATCAATTGAAGCTGTGGATAAAACACATTATCAAAAATTTCGTTTAATAAAGAAAAACAAGTGTTTAATCTCAGTGTAGTTGCTTTAAAATCTTACGGTCTTAAGTAGAATTTTATTTTTTTCGACAAATGTATATATTTTTTGGGAAAATAAGATTTCATATTTTAAGACTTAAATAGTGTTTGCATTAAAAAATAAAAATTTAAATTTTAATCCAAAATTTTTGAATAAAAAAATTCGCAATTCTAATTTAATTAATATTTTCCATTGGCATTTCATGCTTGCTGGCATCATGTGACCGAAATTACATGCATGTTGCCTCTTCTAAATTTGTGTGCAAATGAAAATATTGCTGGCATTACAGATTTTTGGCAATCTTAAATTGCCTGTCGAGATGCTCCGTTATCTATGTTATGTGATATGAATTTATTTTCAAATGTACAAATTTATGTCTGAATTTTTTTTTTGAGTGTACCCATTCAATTTACATACAATTCCTATAAACAACATGCTACATATGTACGCATATCGTTTACCTTGATTCGACCGACACTTAGTCACAAAATTTGGACTATTGAGTAGATTATCTCACCAATCTTCTGGATTTAGAACCGTTTTCTCAATGTCTGGCTAGCACCCATCTGTCAGTTAAGTTCTGCTTAACTCAACCAAACGAAAGGGTCTTTCGCCATGCAAAAAAGACACTTGTTAATCTCGAATCTCAAAAAAAAAAAGAGTAATGTGGAGTGGGGCTGCCAAAGCCGATCTAATAGAGTTGTGCCGAGAAAAAATACCACAACTTCGTTCGGCTAGTCAAGAAAACTTAACTTAACTTATAAATCTCCAACGGCATTGAGGACAGTCCTGTTTAATGAATAGGTTAAATGTTATATAATCAGCTTCTTGGTGAAATAAGGACGTGTGCGAAATTTCAGATCGCTCTCTCAAGAAATGAGGGACTAAGGAAAATGAGTTCGCGTTATAAATTTAATATGTCTTGTTCAGGGTATATGTATAGAGGATGTTTTAGACAAGTATTAAGGGTGGTCTCGAAAGGTTGCTCGAAAGCCTTCTAGTCTATCTAAATACTAGAAATTTCATTCGGCATAGGGACTTCAATCCAAGAGAAGAAAGTTCGTTGCGAACTTGGATCGATTGTCAACTAAAGTATAGTACTTTCTTCGAGAGGGCAAAGGCAGTGAAATCTTATAGTCTAGAGACCACATAAGTTTGATCTTTCTTCGACGTTTCAGGGCTATGACTCGAGTTGTTTGTCAGTTCATCTCAAAGGGGCTTACAAGTTTCAAAACAACTTCGAAGGTCTGATCAAGTTGAGGAGGAAATGTTTCTTGTCAGAAATATACATCAAGATTTAATATACAATATTCTTGTCGACAGTTGCTTGGAAAAACTTCGCCATATGTTTAATTTGGTAAGATTATATGATGAGAAAATCAATGGTATAAGGCACTATTTATTTCTATGAGAAAGGTATCACAGCTTTAATTGTTTTTTTAAGCTCGAACCGGTTGTGGTTTATGTTTCCGGCTTTGAATATTGGCTGTATAATTTAGTTGGGGTCCATCTACTACAAAGCTCGAGCCAAGCTTTCTAATATTAGTCGCTCTCATAGCTCTAGTAGAAGCTGAGCTCTTATTGTTTCTAACTTACATCACTGATAATATGGCAATATTTGCCATCATCTTCATCATAAACTCTACATATATACTTACAATCCTCACTGAAGGGATTTGAAAACCATTTGCGTAGAATGAAGTCAAGGAAACCGAGCTTGCACTTTGTGTTATTTGGATACTCAATCAACTCGACTTTGTCAACTTTCGGTAGCCAACTTTGAGGTAATTTGCGCTCCAGCTCAGTATGTAAGACCACCTGGTACAAACAAAAGAGACGCAGCATTAAATTTAAATTCAATATAAAACATATTTATATCTAGCTCACGCTCATACCTGCATAGCTAAGCGCTTGAGCTGCGCGTTGCGTCGTACAGACTCGATGTCGCCAACCGCCAAACCGATAAGTAGATTCATGAGTAGAATTGGCATAAGAATCATGAAAACACCTGAAATGAGATTTGTAGTATGTGATAGTGATCGGTTTATTTCGTACATAAGAACCGAGTAAACGATCTTAGTCTTCTTTGTTTAACGTTCTCTTACTAAAGGTCATAAAAGTGTTCTCCCGCTAATTGAGTAAAATTTACTTTACTTCTTTGAAGTGTCGGTTTTTTTGATGAAATTTTTACGTTTATGAGAAAATTAAGATTTACAGTGCTTGCAAAAAGTATGACTGTTGTGGTACTCGAGCGATCTCTATACTAAATTTTGCGATTCTCCTCAGCACCTTTTCGGTCCACCGTAAATGATAGTTAGCAATTAATTGAAAGAGCTCAGTTCAAAAATTTCTAAACTAGAAACTCAATGTACCATAAGTTACTAGGTGTACTTACAATAGTCTGCAATCGGTCCCACATATGTTAGGTACTTAGCTCTCGAGTTACCAAGTAATAGTTCGGACTATCCTTAATTACCTGAACTACACGATGTTCGGCGAAGACTATAATATTGCAGCCAAAAAAACTTTGGATATATCGAAATTCAATACCGAGGTCAATCAAAAGAAAGCCTCGTATTATAGTATTTTCTGAGTACCATATAATATTGTTTAGAAATAGCCTCCCTAGGCACTTCTTTAGTCGACTCTCAGATACATAACTAGTGATTTCTTGTGATAAATTAACGTCTTATAAATGTTAGAAAACCTTTAATAACTTTGGTAGTTGAAGAGCATGAGGTGGCTCGAGAGACCCCAGTAATTCCCATACATATCGAATTTAGAAAGTTTGAGACTCAATTACTTAAGCTTAACCCCGATATTTTAAATATGGGTTATGGAAGTCGGGATCTTGCCAACTCTCATCAAAATCCCTAGACGTACCGTCAAAACTGGCTTCATTGGACCATTGACTCTTCAGTACTATTTCAACTTACACCTTGTACCTTAGCATATTTTTACTTTACTAAAGAGATACTTACATAAAATGAGGAAAGATGTTATTGGCACCTTCAATTGATCGCGGTAGTAGGTGTTAACATAGGTGCCCACAAAGTCGAGTTCGCCTAACATCATGGAGAAGGTGCGCAACAGTGACATCGGTATGTTCGAAAAGGACAAATGATTCGGCTGAGCATCGTTGATCTGTAAAACAGCATAGATGCCACACTACATACATATACATACATACAAACAGTTATAAAAAAGTGGCAACATTAAATATTAACGGATTCTTACCTTCGACAAGAGAATGTAAAATGCCAAACCGAAAGCGATGATCAAAATCGAAAAGACGATCAACACTTTGATCAGAGTTTGCAGAATCTCCAAGAACATCACCACATAAATGCCGACCTGTTGGAGAAAAATTGTAAATGTAATATATGTATTTTGTTTATAAATTCCACACTTTTTAAATTACCTGATCGAAACGCTGGAGCAGAAGTAATAGACGAAACCACGACAAGAACACTGCCACTGCCGCCGCTGAGTAGTGCACCGGCGTTATATTGCCTTCGGCAAAAAAAACCGGCCACACCATAATCAATGCGGATGTGTATAGAATCCACGATATTAAATTGTCAATCTCGAATATGTAGTGCAGCCGTTGTTGGTACATTTGTAGAAACTCGCGTAGAGAATTGCAGCCAATATAAACGACAATTGCGACGGCGCAAAAGACCAAAGCGGTGGTGTGTTGTAGGCACTCGTAAGACTCACCGTATTTCATTGCAAACGATTCGTGCCCTCCACCAGCGGGGTTTTTGGGCCATTCATTATTACTGAGATTCTTTTGGAGACTAAAAAAGATGATGTAAAGTTTTAGAAAATGTTTGATGAGTTCTATTCGTTTTTTTGATTACTAAATACTTCGTGTAGACCGAAAGGTCTACTAAACTGGATTTGAGCGCTAAACTGGATTTGAGTGCTTATAGGTGTGGAAATCGATCAATAGTCTTAAACTTTTTCAAACAACTAATACGTAGAAACCTTTTCAGTTCTTGACTTTTACTATTTTCGGTAGATACTCTCATGTTCCATAAATATTCGCTGAAATTCGATTACCGAGCCTTTGTATTGTTGGATTATTTTACTATAATGCTGAGAACTCTTAAATGTAACCAAAAGACAATCCAGATTTTTTGAAATATATTCAAGCTCTTGAATCGTTTTCCTTAGTATTATTATTTTTGAAATCCGAAACGGTTTTCTAAGTAAGTAGAGTTCGCAACTTCGTTATATTAGACCCATTGAAGTATGTTTTGTGGGGTCGTTGAGATTGTAGGTCTTTGCAAAGAACAGGGCTGAATGATTTGATTATTTAAGTTGCTTCGAAGAAAGTTTTATGAGCCAAGACCGAAGAGATGGTTAATAATTTCCTATTGACAAAGTATTACGGGGCGTGGACTCCGGGAGCCACAGTATAAACTGGCTCATGCTGTAGGTAACTCAGCTCATTTATAGAAAAATCGTAAATACTATAGAGTATAGGGTATATATAGGGTAAGCGCGAGAATTTGAGAATAAAAACTGGAATATATGTATATGATTTTAAGTTGAATAACGGCCGAAATATACCGAACTTTTAGGTATAGAACGACTCATAAGGTATTAATCAGATATGTAATCTGAGAGAACTGCTTTTGTTCCCAGCCCACTCCGAATCAATAAATGAATATATTTGTATGTTCGAGATTCAAAATACTTTTTCTTCCTTATTTTTCGAGAGTTGCTACTTCCTCGGTTTTTATGTTGATTCTCAGTGACTTTGACAGTTGTTTCTCTGTCATCATTCTAGTGTAGAATTAACAATTCCATCTCATAGCACTACACAATTTTATATTTAGTGCTAACCCTAAAAAAGGCAATACTTGTAGTTTGAGGAATTATCAAATTTTGCAATGAAAATTTAATGTAAATTCTCAAATGTCTTTACTAATTGATCGAAAATCTGCTAGCAATACGCATACATATATAAAATATATTTAAATTTACTCCCAATTATTCATCAACTTACTCTAAATTGCTGTCATTGGCCTGTGATACATTTGCATTCTCCAACATGGACGCATTCGAAAATGACGGACGAATTTCGTTCATCATCAACGTAGAAAAAATTGTCACAAATAATAGAAAAATTGAGTAGATCAGCAAATTGACGAGATGAAAGTATTTGCCGTAAGAATTCCATTTCATTTGTAGATATTTTTGACTCAGCGGATGGGCGAGCAGCTCGACACGACCATGGGTGACCATCGTCTGGCAGGCACAAATTGATGTATGAAATATTTATTTTAGTACAAATATAATTTGTAGGTTAACTTTCATAAACAGATTACTTAGACGACAAGAGAAAAGTCATAGAGAGACAATTGAAGTAAAGTTAGACTAAGCGTGTAGTGAAGCGTAGGGCACAAGCAGAGATTATAACAAATCGCCAAGAGTTAAGCAGTGGAAAGAGAGCTATTATGAGTGTATACATATATATTATATTATATATTCGCTTCGTTGCTGTAATATGTGCTTAGCTTAAGATGATAGGCACAAAAAACATGTGGAAGGAGGCTGTGAAAACTTGGAAAATACACAGTAATTTTTTTTTTTTAAATTATTTTTAAATTTTTTTTGATAGATGCATGCAATAACTAACAGTAAACAAGACTAATGCACAAACTATTCAGAAAAATGCAGAAGTAAACTAAGAATATAGCATAACAGTAACATCGTATTCTAATCAATTATATGGTATATGATTAAAAGAAATATCAGTTAAGAGGAACTGTTACGTTCACAATTTTTTACAGAAATCAATTTAAGAGTTAGTGAAATACTTTTGTTTTATTTATGCTATTGTTTATAACTTAAATGCCTTAAAATTATAAATTCGTTTCTTAAAAGTGTGAAATCTCTTTATAAATACAAGTACTCGTATATTTGGATGTTTACAAAACAAAAACATTTTTTTTCGATTGGTACTCTGAAAAAAAGCATTACGCTTGAAGTTTTATTATTTTTAAGCAGTTTTTTTTATATGAAATTTAAAAATCAATGGAAAAATCATTTGAAATTGCAAAACTCATAGTTTTGTAGGAAATTTTCTGCTCTACAAAAATGGTCTGTATAATTTTTCGATTAAGTTAAGCGTTTACGAGATATTCATTGACAAATATGATTGCTATCAAAAGGAAACAAAAAAAAAAATAAATAAAATAAAATAAAATATTAAACCATATGTCGTAAAGCACTCAATTTACTACAAGTCTATGAACGTTAACTTCGGCAGAACCGAACATATATAAATACCCTTCACAGGTGCCTTTCTTATATATCTGTTTGATATAAACAATCTTCAAAACGAAATAAGGTTACTTAATAAGTATAAACGATCTTGAATGAAAATTTAAATTTTAATTTTGTTCAATCTGTTTGTATGGCAGCTACATGTTACAGTGGTTCGATCTAAACAATTTGTAAGGAGATTTTGGCGTTGTGCTGGATAATAATTCGGAAAGATACCTTGCCAAATAAAAAAAGTTTTCCACATAAGGACTTGAATTTGATCGAACAGTTTTTATGGCAGATATATTCTATGGTGGTCCGATATCAGTGGTTCCGACTTGGGGAGCGAAGGTGGTTGCACATCGATATCTCAAAAACTGATGGGCCGATTCGCGTGTATATGTACAGAAAGGCAGACGGACTAACTTGACTCCGCTCGTCACGCTGATAATTTTTTAACGTATATATCTTATTGGAACTCCGACGTTTCCTTCTGCGTGTTACACAAACTTTGAGGCCAACTTAATAAACCCTGTTCAGGCTATAACATAAATATATTTCGAATCACGAGTGGCCAGCCCTACGCATATGTATTATAAATAGGTCAATCCGCATTGATAATCGAAACATTGATTGACAATCTCGCGAAAACTGATTTTGGAATTTTATTGTTTGTTTAGATTAAAAATTAAACTATGTACAATAACACAAATAAATATATACATTGTTAGACATATTATTTACAGTTACAGTTTAGAGACGAGACATTTTATATCTTACAAACGGACGCACTAGACGGCAAGTGAGAGTTAACGATACTTTTTAGAGACTTTTACATAATTAGTTTATTTTTAAAATTGATTGAATTAATTTGATTGAACTTTGCTTGTAGCAATACATAAATTAGCAGCTAATTTATTTCACATAAAATGACTCACATTTATGGTGAGCAATGGTTCGGGTCTCCAAGTGGGATCATTAAGCATCAGACGCTTCTTAGCAATCTCGTCAGGAGATTTTTGAATTGGATGAAAAGAATATTTTATCTGCAAACAGAATTGATTTTTTTTAGTTTTGAATATTATCATGTCTTGCGAATAACCCTGTGGAAGTGAACAATGCTGACAGTTGTCTAGTTGAATAAGTATCTAATTGTGTGGAATTTTCAGTGATTTTTGTTCTAAAATGATTCAATACTCTTGGATAGTAAAGTATCGACTACCTTTCGCTTAAGCCAGTCCTTCAGATACAAAAGCTATATGTACATGGGGACAATTCGATTTTCAAATCAACTTCTTCGAGACTCGACGATGCCTTTATATAAAAAATATACTTAAATTTGGAAATCTTATTTTTTTTTTTAATATAGAGATGATTTAAGCAGGTGCTTAAGCCTGAGTCGACTTAAGCTTTTAAAAGCAGCATATTGCAGGTATATTAGGAAAATAGGAAAGTAATAGAATTACGGAAAGTATTAGAACGCTTTTTTCTTTCCTTACTCCATATGAGCATTTGATCAAATATGACCCGGACTGAAAAAAAAATTCACACGAACATAAAAAAGTTTTAACAATCTAAGAATTTTTTTATCAGCCAGTCCGGGTCAAATTTGTTCATATGTTATATATAACTTATGTAAGAGAAACCCGACTTCTGAAACCCTAACTTTTTTTCGACGCAGTCGTGGAAGTCTTACAGAGCCACCAGGGCACACAATTTCATTATGCTAGGAGCTTCTCTTACATATGGTATCTTAAGTTTGACTCTTTCGCCAACCCACTAGCCAAAGTATTAATAAATACACCCTTTAAATACACTACACACATACAATTTAAAGAAAAAAGACTAAGTAAACTAGCTATACACTACGTGTGTAAGATTGTAAACATGCGCTTGTAATTATTTAAAAAGCTAAGCATTACATAAGAAATATCGTAAAAGAGGCAGGCAGGCAGTAAATCATATACAGACAGAGAGAGAGAGAGAGAGACGGTATATGGGCAAATATTTATATTAACTAACGGCAATAAAAAAATGTCACAGGCAAGTATTTATGCATATAGTTAAAGAGGAAGACATATAGGCAGGCGGATAGTCAGGCAGTTAACGGTTTAATATGAAATCGATGACACATGCTCTGCTTACATTTAACGCCGGCAATGGTGTCAAATTCGAATGAACTAACGTTTCGTCGGTTTTCTCATCCAATTTCTCATATATGAAAGGACATTGCAGAAAGGAAAACGAATATTTTATCTGTAGTATAGATGAAGTGTAAAGAATTTGATGCATTTTACCGCTCACAACTACTCATTTGTATATAATTGTAATTAATTAAAGTAAATATATTATATTTATAAGAGCTATTATATACGAACTCTAGCTTCTGAGACAAAAGAAGCTGAGAGTGAGAGAGATCGCAACTTAAACTTCTGAGACATTACTTACGTAGAAACTCTTGGAATCACGCTTGCAATTCGCCTTTGTTATGCATTTATCTAGCACAGCCTCGAACACCTTTGGCATCGATGCGATTAGTGCCAGTATAACACATGGATACTTGTCGGAACGCAATGCCATCACCTCATTGGCACGATTCTCATGTGTCACCATAGCCAACGCTGATTCGGGATATTTGTAATAGATGGCATAATCGATGGCGCTCATGTCGATATTGTTGTAGAACAGTTTACAACCCATTGAAAGTAGCACGGAGATGGCGTGCGGTTTATTCTCCATTGTGGCCAAGTGAAGTGCGGTGTTCTGCGGAAGAAAGATAAAAGGGTGTTGGGTTTAAAGATTATTCATTCAAAAATTTGCCGTGCACTAAACTATTTGAACTTCGTTTTTTTGCTATTGAATGGTGTTAAGTTGGTGAAGCATTCCTGAAGTAAACGATATTTGTTTAGTAATTAGTATCCGCCCAATTTATGGCCAAGAAGTTGAGTGTTTACAGAAGCAGAACTCTAAAAATATGTATGGATTGTGAACTTTCATACAAGTTCTTTTCGTTGTCCCGAGCTTTGTTTCGAATTTTTTTTGGAGTCTCAACTGAGCTACAAAGTATTACTCAACTTCAATAGCAGCCAATCAGGCTTGAATAAATTGGTGAAGACTGTACTCCCCGTTACTTTGGGAGATACATCATTAATTGTTGTTGAAAATAGTCAAGAAAGTTTTTTTTTTTTATTTGTATGAAATTGAAAAAAGGCTGTCACCATTTCACGTTCCTCAGTTTTGTTAAACGTTGGTCTAAAGAATTTAGAGATCCGTATATTACTAAAATACTTTATACAACTTTGGTTAGACCTATATTGGAATATGGCTCTATTGTATGGAACCCTAACTACCAAATCCATCCTGACAAGTTAGAGTCTGTTCAAAAAAAATTTTTATATTTCTCCTTAGCGCATTTCCGATGGGATTCTAGGGTAAGTCTACCTCCATACATTAGTCGTTTAAAACTTATTAATCTACCTACACTTTCTAGTTGTAGGGAAATGCTTGGAATAATATTCTTAGTGAAAATCTTAAATGGAACAGTTGCAGTTCTTTTCTCCTGTCTGAAATTGAATTTAATATCCCGATTCGCTTTTCGAGGCAGTTTAGACCTTTACTGTTAAAATCCTGTAGATCAAATTTTGAACTAAACGAGCCATTCCGCCTTATATGTCATGATTTTAATTCTCATTCCAGCACATTTGACTTATCTGACTCACTTTTCAAAATTAAAAAGACTTTATTATTTTTTCTTAATGAAATGGTTTAAGTTCTGTATATGCTTAGGATCCTGTTAAATATATGTATATAAAAGGATTCGAATTATGATTGTAAGACCATCCTGTTCTATTTGTTATGAATTCATTTAGGCAAATATACTTAATGGAATTTTTGAAGCTTTGTCATCAGATTTTATATGTATATTATATTTATAATGTATACAAATCATACTTACGCCTTCCTTATCGACCTGATCGAGCAGATGTGAATGTACAGAATGCAATAACTCAATCGTTTGTATATAACCGGACATCGCCGCCAAATGTAAAGGATTGCGTCCATTATGATCGCGATGCAAGAGAGCGCCCCGATTTAACAGTAACTGTACAACACGTGTGTGACCCTGCTGTGAGGCAATATGTAACGGTGTCAAACCCTCTCCATCACTCTCGTTGATTATGAAAGAACCCTTCTCCGAATCAAGTAACTGTTTAACCGTATTAAAACGTCCATAACGTGCGGCAAAATGCAAAGGACTTTCATTATTGTTATTCTTGAGATTAATGCAAGCACCCAGACGTATTAGATTTTCCAGCGAACGTATGTGCCCATCACGACTGGCATAGTGTAAAGGCGAACAGCCTGAAGCATCCTTCTCATTGAGTAGCTGTACGAGTTGAGAATGTGACTGTGTCTTGTTCACCTCTTCAGCGAACTCTGGCAGCCGACCACCATTCATGATCACAAAGTGCAAGACATTGCGTGAAGATGCATCCTTGACATTAATGCCGGCACCGAGACGTATTAGCAGATGTACAGTTTTCCAACCGCTGCGCGATGCGGCGAGCAAAATCGGTGAGCGATGTTCCCGGTCGAGCGCATTAATGTCAGCGCCCTCCTTCACCAGATACTCGACAATATCTGGGTGATCAAACATGGCTGCGCAGTGAAGTGGTGTCATCTTCTGAGCATCAGTGCAGCTGAGGCAAGTGAGCTTCTCCGATGGTTGCATGCTGAACATAAGTTTGACAATTTCGATGGCACCCTGTATGGTAGAGAAGCAACGTAAATACTCGTATATATCAATGAAGGAGGTTATTGTAGGTTTGCTAGTTTTTTTCTGAATAAATAAATTGGTTTATAAATTTAAATAATTTTCGAAAATCACCAATTTAACTAGCCAAACGGGAGAAAAACAATTCAGTTAGGATAAGGTTCATTCCGAATTTTGACCAGGTTTCACATTAAACAATACCGAAATGCCGATAATTTTTGACGTTCTCCCAAAACCGTTACTAATTAGAATAGATTTATCAGCATTTGAGCCAACTTACACGTCATGCCCTGATGTTATGATCTACAAGATACAGGATCCTATTAAAGTATCTGGAAATGATATGTTCGTTTTACAGATATTTCTGACCGCTTCCGTTCCGAAGAAAGTCGACTATGTGTAATCCGAATATACCATACAAGGAGCCTGTCAGGTAGTTGTCTCTGCATTTCGGAAAACTTCTTGGAAACCTATCATCGGTCATCAAAATCAGTGGCAAAGATATACATTTTACGGCGACTGTAAACTAGTGTCTATGCATATCTCGCTAAACCTCAGTTCTCTCATCCTTTTAGCCTCATTAAATCTATAATTCAGACCCAATTTTCAATTGAATGTAGGAATATTCAATTAAGAATATGTCGAGCCGTCATAGAAGTGTTTGATACAGTTCTAAAAGTTGATTTTGTTGACTGACGTGCTTATCTTATGTTAACAGAAAAATTACTAGAAGAGGCCTAAAATAAATCCATGACCAAGTAGTCCGTGTTCTTCAGCACTTTGGCCTAAATTTAAAAGGAGAAAGTAACTCAAACTATTTAAGATATAGTGTTTCAAGAAAAGTGCGTTGGGAGCGTTGACAGCATGTCAAAGAAGATTGCATATAAGATGGGTTACTAAAATGGTTAGTTACATTTTCCTCATGCGTAAATAGATTAAAGAAGCTTGAGGGCTCAAATCCTCATTCAACGCCGTACCGCCAGAGATTTTGTTAGATAAACCATTAATTGTCGTTGAAGATGGTCAAAGGAGCTTTTTTATATGCGTTGGAGATATATTTTTAAAAAATGGGGTTGTCATATTTTGACAAATTTAATGCCACTAAATTGTTAATAATAAATGAAATATTATAATGCTGGTATAGAATAACTATTATTTAAGCAATTTTTCGTCTGCATAGACATTTTTCTATGGAATTTGCAGATGCAGAGAAGTTTTAATTCTGCAGCGGCGTGTTCTATGTCCACAATTTATTTTATTTTCGAGCAACGCAGCACCGTCTTCTATTATTGTACATCACGGTATTTGAGGTTATGTGCCTACACTTATTACTCTATTAGCTAGCATATATGTTAGTTAAAGCCTAGTATTTCTTTTAAGCTTAATCTGACATATTTCAAATTTTTTCTACGAATTTTCTATGCCTAAAATATCCAGAGTATTAAATTTACATGTATTTAAAAAAAAATGTTAAAAACATATATGTTTTCAACTAATTAAAAAAAAAAAACCTGCTATAAAAGTATAATATTACAAGTATATTGGCAATCCCTGACTTCCACGCGATGTTGTTGACGTCAAGTTTCGCCTCTCTCACCTTCATTGAACTACAAGGTAGCAACTTGTACCGAATATTTCGAATATATTACTCATGTATGTGGATGTGCGTTTGTGTACGTAACATACAGAAGTTAATGTCTGTATTTGTATAGGAATTCGCGCCATTTTGCTTAGCGTGTCACCGTTGTTTGAGTAGGGCCACTTTGTACTTGTAAATACATGTGCGCATAGCGCAATGTTTAACGGATGATTCAGCAGATTCTCGCCTTCAGTTCTCACACATTGCAGAGTTGTTCTTGTCACGCATTTTGTGTCAGTTATTAATGTCAAAAAAAATTCTTGCGCTAATTTGAACAACATTCTTGGGTGTTTGCATGCTTGTTATGCGTATGTACTATGTGCCCTAATGTAAGTAAAGATAATGTGAAAGTCATTCATTGCGACCATGAAATTTTAGGGTTTATATATGTACATATGTATTTTGCTTTGTACAGCAACTTAGAAGCTCACAAAGCAAGTAAGTAAATGTAAACAATACCTTACAAAAGAGGCTTCTTAAAAAATTACTGTCGGCAAGTAAAATAGAAACCAATAATTAAATGTGCCTAAATAAGCAAGAGTTACTGCTTGACTTACCAATGGAGTTTAATTAAAATGTCGAGATGTCAAGAGCCTCGCGGCTTTGTGTTATTGTAAATATTTTCATTAAACATTTTTAATTAATAAATTATCGCCGTTGGTATTTTTACGTTTTACCGTTTACACAGCACGAAATAAATATTTATTGAGTCCCTTTCTTCCGCATATTAGGTAACACAGAACGAAATAAATATTTCTTGAGTCCCTTTCTTCCGCTTATTGGCTTGTATAAGCAATACTAAGTAGTTATCATCTTTTATTAACACAAACTGTCACCAAAACCCTCAAGGATAAGGAGAATGAACTAGCAATAATATTTCCAAAATTTGTAATACTTCACTAGTACTTTCTTTTCTAGTCTTTTTTTGAGTTTTGCCTACAGCTTCCAACGATTTCTGTTGTGTATATTGTTATTGCCAGGAAAATGGAGGACCTTTAAATTTCTAAGCTATCTCTGAATGACTAACTTTTTTTTCAAAGAAAGTTTTTGTGTAAAGTTTATATTATTCTTCAGTCTCGATCTGACGTTTGTTAAACAACGTCTGTTATAGATCCTAGAGTTAGTTTTCAGCCTTAAGTCTTTAATATCTAAAGACTTCTTAATAGATAACTCACGATTTCAACCTGGCGTTATCCTAATACAATACAATTCCTCTCCGCTTCTAAGCAATTGCTTTCTTCAGCAGTGTATTTGTTGACAGTACAGGTCTGAACTAAGAGTTTGGAGACCTTGAGTCTTCACTACTATCTTTACTGTCATTCCATCTCCACCACACACGCATACACACTCACCTGTGCACAAGCCAAATGCACTGGCGTCGAGCGATCATGTTGCTGCTTAGAAATTTTAGCGCCTGATTTCAGACATAGTTCCACCGCCTTGATATCGCCACCATGCACGGCCGAGTGTAGCGGCACATTGCCCTCAGAGTCGAAGAAGGACATCATTTCCTCGCGCAAACGTCCGCGTTGCTCGCCCCACTGTTGAGAAAGAGGATAATGATTAATGTTTACAGGGATATTCATAGGTATGTACAGAAACGGTTGTCGGTAGGTAGATATGTATGTAGTTGTGTTATATATCCATATGTTGTTCGAGTATTTGGATTTTTTGCTATTGTTGTTTGTTCTTTAAACAGTTGTGCACATGAAATGATAAGAAATAACATTTGACACTTGATTGCGTTTTCATTTAGCGAAAATTTATGTTGTTGCTACTGATGAAGTGCCCGAAATATGTAAATTATTTAGAGACAAATTTTACGAGAACACGTATTGAAAGTGAATAATAATTTAAATAAATGACTGCCGTTTTTTCCAACTAAGAGTTAAATAAAATTTGCTTAACTATTAAAAATTCTCTATCCAATTTGAAAAAAGCTAGAAAAATGTTTTTTGTCTATAGAAATACATCTGCCATCCTTTTTTTTCCATGTGAATACAAAGGTCTCAGGCGTATGAGGAATAAATAATTATTCACCATTCAGTTTATGTTTGATTTAGCTATGCAAGTCGACTTAATGAAAGTACTATTATATTGTATTTTCACCACAACAAGAAAAATGTTTAACTGCGGCTGCAACGAAGTTACTTCACAGCTGCATTTCTTATAGCAACTACATGTATAACTAAAACTGAACCCATAATCGGCAACGGAAAAAAGGTTTTATTAGTTATTGTTTGATATAAGCAACTTTCAAGTCGAATTGAGGTTCCTTATAAACCATGTCTTATTTCGTGAAGATATCGTGCCAATAAAAAATGTTTTTCATACAAGGACTTGATTAACTCAAAAACTAAGGTACTAGTTCGTGTATAAACAGATAGGCAATGGTAAATCGACTCAGCTTATCACGCGGATTATGTCTCTATACTTGTATACTTTATATGGTCGCCGACGTTTCTTTGTGTGTGTTACAAACTTCGTGACAAACTTAATACATATACCGTGTTCTGGGTATAAAAATAATAATTTAATAGTCATTAGACGAGTTTCAGTATGTTTTTTCTACCTATAAACTAATATTTATTGTTCAGTGAGATGTGTTAAAACACAACCTGTTGATATGAGTGCGTTTTGATATATTCTTCTTTGGCATTCGTAAGTAAATTTGGCGTGCATATTTTGATATTTTGACAGTTTTTCGATGGATTTTGCACCATTTGTTTCCAGCAAAGTTGGTCTTACTTCCAATTGGTTAGTCATATATTTTTTGTATTTAGTACCCGTAAGTGGTATGCCTAAATAGCATAAAACGTTTAATCGAGCAAAGGACAAACACTGCCAACGACGAAGATCCTAAAAAAATTAGGATAATTTTACTTGAAAACCCCATGTTAGCATTAAAGAGACGTTAGTGGATCTACACATCTTTTGCAAAAAAAAAAAAAAAAAACTACAGCACAGGTTTCGATTTGACTTCACAGAAATTTAAACAAAGATATTAATAATTTTAAAAGTAATGCCTGTTTGTGTTGATCCAGTTCCAACTGAACCTACTTGCGGTGACCATCACTAATCCTTAGAAATTGATCTAAAATCAATCGGACAAAAAAGGTCTGGATGAGATCCTTTGATCAATCACTACTTTTTCATATTTTCAAAAAGCTGTATTGTAAATTTCATTGAAATCTACCGAGCAGTTTTCGAGCTACAGTTGTACCTGTTCAAAAAACACAGTTTTGACAAAACCCCGTTTGAAGTTTTACACGAACATTCTAGAGCTGATCGAGAACCCTTTGTTAATTAACAAATAACTCAAAAAGTATTTGTCGAAATTACTTCAAATTTTCAGAGAATATGCCTAAGATATTATACGGGTTTTTGAAAATTCTGACTACCCCTAACCCTTTATATCAAATATATGCTCTTTTTTCATGGACTTCCTGATAGACAATCGCTATTGGAAAAATCTTTTGAATTAGTTGGTATTCCGATCGGTAGTGATGTAGCGATATTTATGTCTTGTGGAGTACAAGTGTGTGGACTTTCACATATTTATTTTATTTTTATTTTCGAATACATTTTCGTCAAAATAGAATATATTAATATTAGTATAAATTCGAAGCTCATTTTTTATTGTTAGACCATCAGAACTTGCGAAGCCCCAAACAAGCGTCTAAATTTTAATTTTCTCAGAGCTCAAAAATCAAACTTAAAAGTTTGATACTACCAGAATATTTATTGCTTGAAAAAAAAAATTAAAATTTCAGAAGCCGATTTTCAAGCTCGTCACCAAAAGTGTCTTCTACTAATTGTCGAAAATGCTCCGAAATGGCAACTTATAATAAGTTTAAGAAATATTTGTACAGCGATAACTTTTGCAATCCTTCTGACGTGTTTACTGAAATTATCCACCCAGCAATGTGCGGAAAAACTTTTGTCAAAGCCAAATGCCGCACTCAGGATGTGCTGAAGTTGCTTGTAAATATTTAACCGAGTTTAAGTTTTATTACGGCAAATTGCATTTGCATTTTAGACAATCACAAAAGACATGCCAACGACTGTTAAACTGACTGACGGTAAGCAGTTTTTAACAGCTACTTGGTAAATAGGTATATACATATGTATACAGGTTGTGAAGGGCAGCGATGGTAGATAGATAGGAAATAAAATTCTTAACTTGGACAATTAAGTTCGACTCAGATACAGTTTTCTGCACAGGTACTTCTTTAACGTAGGAGCTATCAATTACTGAGTGACAAAGTCGTCGAGATGACTGCTCTGTTCTGCTTTTTAATGATACCTTGGAAAAATCTAAAGAAAAATCAAACATATCGCCTTCGTGTCGTTGAAGACTGTTGCTGTTTATTATTAAACAAATATTTTTCCCCAAGCTGTTCAGGACCACATTTCGATTTTTGTTTTTAAATATTATTCAAGTGTTTAAATATCGAAATTCAGTGCTCGGAAAAATTCATCGACAATCTTCTAACAATTTTCTCGTCAAGCAAAATAAATGTGCATGGAAAGGACTAGGTTTTGTTTCTGTAATTCTTAAAATGTGTTCAGCAACCCTTAGAGCATCAGTTTAGTAAATTCTACCATTGAATTACTCTAACTTGTAATATTTATATCATCTGATCAAAATTTACCCGAATTATCTATTTGAACTGCGCGCGCAAACCGAATTGATAAACATTTTTTCCATGATTGGTAAAACCTTTTTGATCTTTGTACGAAGTTTGCAGCAAAAAGTTTATCTGACGATTTATACCATGGAAAAAAATGAACAACGAGTTTGCTTGAAATTTTGTGTTTCCAATGGAATCACGACGCTACAGAAGTGTTTTGAAGAGCCAGCTATATCACAAACACAATTGCAAAAGAGATACGTGACAGCTTATCTGAGGTTCGTACATACATCAAATGCTTCATTACCGTTGCGGAGACGTGGGTTTATGAATATGATCGAAACTGTGTAACAATCTAGCGAATGACGCTCCACAAATGAGCCGAAACGGAAAATAACACGTCAAAGTCGGACAAAAATCAAAGTAATGCCCATAGTTTTCTTTGATTACCGCGGTGTGGTTTACCAAGAATTTATTCCTAAATGTCAAACGGTGAATATGGAATACTACTTAGCCATTTTGAGGCGTCTACATATAGCAATTCGTCGTAAACGACCGGATTTGTGGGCAGAAAATTCATTGACTTTGCACCACGATAATGGTCCTTACATTCTAGCATTTTTGTGACTGACTTTTTGTTCAAACACGAAATGAGAGTATCACTCATGACTACTTTGCTCTTCACTTCACTATGTGCTTAGCCTAAGCTTCAAAAACAAATTGAATACACGCGCTTTGTTGAACGTAGCCAATTTTGCTTAAATAGCTGTAGAGAGAACAGAACAAGTGGACAAAGAAAAGCAACAAGTGTTCCAATAATTTGCGAATTTTGCTCCTTTTAACTGTATACTGATACAAATATTTAGGTTGAAGATACTACAAAAAGGATTTGACTTTGCTGAAATGAATACTTTCGGTTACATAAAACATGCTCGTTCGTAGAAGGTTAGATAGACGATATGTATGTATGTATATGCAAAAATAAAAAGATATAAACACACATACATACACACATGCAGTGCGTTAAAGGCGCAGGTGCAGAATGCGATTTTCGCCAAAAAGAATCAACAAATGTCTCGATGGTTAATACAGTATACAAACTTACATACATAAATATATTATATGTGCATATACATACATATATACGTAGCCATGAAAAGATCAAAGTGAAGAAATACATATGAAAATCTGCAGACACACATTTGCATGCCACTTTGTGGTTACATTAACGAGACAAGAAATGTGTGTATGTATGTATGTGTATATACAATATATGAATATATGCCATGATATGTTTATAAATGTGTGTTCTACAAGCAAGCAATAAAGCAAGTAAGCTTAGTTAGTAATTGTATATATTGTCCCAAAGACTTAACCACGCACACACACACACACATAGACAGTGGTAAGAAGTGCTTCTACGGTGTTCTAAGAAGTACAAAGGAAGTTTGTGCATATGTGTGTGTATTGGTAATCTTTGTTGTAGTAGCCTTTTTTGAAATATCGTTATTAAATCACTATTTTCTTACTTATATGGAAATATAATACTTATTTAACTTTAATCTAAGGTAAACTGGTGGCCTGCATACAAATTTGCATAAAATTAAATTATGTTCGTATTGAAGCCTGTATGTGTGCATATTTCACATGCCGAAGAAAAAACTAGATTTTTGGTCAACTATATTATGAAAAATTAAGTTTAAAGTTACAGAAAGTGTTTTTCAAATATTTATAGATTTTACAAAAATATAAAAGCTAAGTTACAAATGGTGAAAAATATAAGCCTTTTCACTACCAAACAATAAAAAAAATTACCCTTTGGCTATCTTAAGGCGTATTGAACTAAAATGCTGGGGAACATAATTTTATGCTCTGAACCCAAAATGGTACTTAGGTGACTCTATAAAGTATATATATGAATGGTGAGCGTGATGAGATGAGTCGATTTAACCATATTCGTCTGTCTGTCTGTCTGTATATACGCGAACAAGTCCCTCAGTTTTGAAGACATTAATCTACAACTTTTCACTCGTGCTTTTCTTTCCAAGAAGCTACTTATTTGTCGGAACAGCCGATATCGGATCACTATAGCATATAGCTGTCATACAAACTGACCGATTAACATCAAGTTCGTGTATGGAAAACTTTTTTTTTTGACAAGATATCTTCACGTGATTTGGCGCGAATTATTTTCAAAAGCAACGGCACAATCTCCGAACAAATTGGTTAGATCGGATCACTATAGCATATAGCTGTCATACAAACTGACCGATTAACATCAAGTTCTTGTATGGAATATATTTTTCCCCCAGATTATTATAGCTTCGACACAGTCGCTTTCTAGTTTAAAATAATTTTTTCCTGCTAATACCATGAAAATATTTTCTAATTATTAAAATTTTGCTCTCATACTATAGGTCATCAGTGCGTAAGCACTTTCTCGCCTTTTAGCAATAAAAAGCAGTCGCTCCAGCTAAAAAATGTATTTAAAAGATTTTTAAAGATGGTGGTTGTTTTTCTTACTTTCGATAGCACTACTGGTCTATGTAATATATGTAAACATACATTAACATATGCAACAAACTTTCTTTAACTATACCGTCTTTTGTATAAGTCAAGCGCAACTGAAAACGTTGTAATATTTAAAGTATTTATTTTACGTAGCAAAAATTTGTTTTGAACTAAAATATACTTGAGAGAAATTTGAGAAATACTTCTATCAATTTATTCTTTACTTTGTATAACCTCAAGAGACCATTTGTCGAATGACATGTGGCTTGGACAAATATTTGCGAAATAACACAATAAAATAAGCAAATAGAAACGGTTATGTAGTATGCACACATACATACATACTTACACATTCATATGTATATAAAGGACAGCAAATATTTAAATAAATGTTTTCGGCACAAATATATGTGTAAGTATGTAACAGTATTAACAGTAGCATAAAATTTACGAAAATATTTATGCAAATATGTGTACGAAGGCATGCCAGCGTAGGCGTGGCATACAATTATACATATATACATATATTGACATAAGTAAACGATGTAAATACCAAAGACACAAAAAATTATGTAGAAATAACTGTGAATATAAAGTGGGTACATAAATTTAAGGAATGAGACCACTAACTACTACTACAAACAAACAAACAAAACTTTGAAAGGGAACTATGGTTGTGCATGTGTTCGTTTAACATATTCATATACACACACACATACATATATTTGTATGCATGTACATATATGCATTTACTTGCCTGCAAAAAGACCTCCATCGTTCTGGAGCTGGCATTCTTAGCCGCTTCGTGTATGGGATAATAACCGTTGTTGCAAGGTGTGCGGGGACATGCTTCGAATTCGGTTATCTGGAAGATACGACAGACATATGCAACACGAATTATATGGTGTGTTCAAATGACGCTACACAACAATAAGAAAAACAAAAATTATCACTACAATAACAATAACTATAATGTTGACGAAATTATGAAAACATAAATAATATTAATTGAAGTAAAAAAAAAAAAGTATGGGAGTTTACACACACATACATAAATGTATTAGTACTCGTACATAAGGAAATTATGAAGAAATTGTATGGCTGCTCAATATGCTTGTATGAGATGATAAAGAATGGATTTTACATACATATATATGTAAATATGTATTTAGTTAAAAAATATCAAAGAATTTGTGCATAAATATTTTTTATGGAATTTAGGTGTATTTGCTCTTCCACATACATACATATATATTTCTTAGTGCCCACTTAGTCTTAACTTACTCTCACTATACTTTCATACAAATATACATACATTACATTTCTCCAGAAAATTCTACTTTCGCACATATATTCAACTTCAATTGTTTACTCACCAGTATTCTGGCGCACTCCTCATGATCGTAGATGGCGGCCAAATGCAAAGCTGTGCGTCCATGTTCGCCGCCTTGTTTTATATCGATATCCTTGCGATATTTTCCCATAACTCGTAGTGCCTGTACGTTATTCAGTTCGGTTGCTAAATGTATTGGCGCTTGTTTCTTCTCGTTGAGTAGGCCGGTGTTGACGGGTCTGTGGTGAGGAGAATGGAAATTAATTATTAAAATTTGGTTAGACAAAAGTTGGTTAATGTTGGATTCAATCGAAGAAGCCTGTCATACGTTGATAGCTAAAACAAGATAAATATGTATATAACCCATACCACAGCAGCATTTCTTATAGTATAAAAGTTTATAAAAATATCTACATCTTGATTTTGCGCGATCTGTTTGTATGATACCTCTATGCTATAATGATTTGATCTGAACAATATGTTCGGAGATTGTACCGTTTAAAAATAATGAATGCCGAATTTCGTGAAAATATCTCGTCAAATACAAATCCATACAAGCACTTGATTCTAATCGTTCAGTTTGTATGGTAGCTATATGCTATAGTTGTCGGATATCGGCCGTTCCGACAAATGAGCAGCTTCTTGGGGAGAAAAGGGTGGGTGCAAAATTTCTGATCGATATACAGGTTGGTTAAAAAGTTACAGCGCTCGAAATGAAAAAATATTATATTGAATTTTGTTATTGTTAAAACACCTTTGTGAGCAGGTGCATTGTCTTCATGAAAAATGAGTTTTTTGTGCTGCAAACCAGGTCTATTCTCAAGAATTTTTTCATCCAGCTCATCCCAAAGGCTGCAATAATATCCAGAGTTGAATGTTTTACCTTTCTGCAGATAATCAATCAACAAAATTTCTTTTGCATTCCAAAAACTGTTGCCATAACCTTCTTTGCTGATCGTTGGGATTTCACCTGCTTTGGAGCTGAACACCCAGCTTAAGTCTACTGTAAAAGTGCTTGTTTCAATTTAGAATCATGGTGGTAGATCCAAGACTCCTCCATAGTTATAAAACAACGTAAGAAAGCGGTTTTATTCTGCTTAAAACGCTCCAATTTATGCTGAGAAATTTGTTTTCGGTCCAGTTTTTGTTGAATTGCTAACGTTTGCGGCACTAACTTTCCAAACAGCTTTTTCATATGAAATTTTTCATGTAAAATATGAAGTACTCGTTCGTTTGAGATTCCCATGGCATACGCGATTTTACGTATAGTCAAACTTTAATCTTCACTAACAATATTATGAACTTGCTCAATAGTTTCTGGTGTGGTGGTTGTGGTTTTTGTTCGTCCTTCGCCTGGATCGTCTTCTAGCTTAGTACGAGCACATTTAAATTCACCAGCCCAAAATTCAACGGTGCGTTTTGAAGGTGGGGACTCCTTATACACTTCTAACAATTATTAGTAAATTTCCTCTGCTTTTAAGCCTTTCATAACAAAGAATCTAGTCACTGCGCGATATTAAAAAAGTACTCTGACACGTCAACTTCGAATGGCTTGCAAATAAAGAATTAATTGACAGAATTAATTGTAACTTCGCATGTGTTCTCACGATAGATGTACCAACTTGAGAGAAAAAAATTTGGAGCTAGTAGTGTTATTTCTTGGTGAGCACTACTCTCTTTTTAACCAACCTGTATATACATATGTATATGTAGACGGACTGACGCATATGGCTAAATCGACTCAGCTCGTTTCGCTAATCATTTATATATGGTATAAGCTTTATGGGTTCTCCGATTGGGTGTTGCAAACGTCGTGACAAACTTAATATACTCTGTTCAGGGTATAAAAAGGAAAAATATTTGCTAAAGTGAGAAGAATTATATAAATGTGACATCTAACAACGGTCTGCTATAAACAGACTACTAGAATAGTTAAATTTTAAAAGTCTGTGTTGACTGTGTTGCTTAGAAAAAAATCATCAAATATATCATCACCGATTCCAAATTTCTGGAAAATGTTTTCGTAGATGTCTTCCAAGTTAATTTTTTTTGTTAAATGAGCAAAAAAGTACCGTAATTTTCAAAAAAAATCTAATCAGTAGATAACGTCATCGCTTGATTTTTATTTTTTCTAACGAGCCTCATGTGTATTAACATACTTAGTATCATACCTGATACGCCGACCCGTTAAACTGATTGAGATATATGCTGATATCGGTCGTTTGTTGATATAAAAATTTTTAATTGATATAATATACATAATGATCTGAACAGTTTCTGAACTGAAGTATTTTTGGTCTACAATTTCGTCTCTTCAATAAATGTCCAAATTTCTTCCGATCTTGTGCGATAGCGAGCCAGCGATACTGGTCTTGACATCACTGACTATAAGTTTGTGGTTTGTGGAGTGACACGCCTCTCGATTGAGTTGCTTCATGATTAGGCTTGTATAGTTTCCTAGCTAAGCTGAATCGCAATGCATTGAATTATTTTGTAGTAAGGCTAAACATGTTGGCTTTTCGTTTTTAATTGTCGAACTTTTTTGATATTCATGTTGAAATTCGACGGTTTAGTTTTATATTCATGAGTTTTAGGCATTCAAAAGGACTGGCTAAATTTGATATCCGCCTCAAAGATCAGCCTTAATTTCTAACCCAACGTAACCTAGTCTTGGAAATCCCAATGAAAAATGTGATCCCGGAAAATTGGCTAAAGTATAAACTGCATCCGATTCCGCTGTAAAATATCTTTATGATTATTTCCCCATCTTCTTGTTACCTTAGTGGAAATCAGTACATACATATCTTATTTGGAAAATCTATTGATATTTCTTGAGAATCGATTTAATCGTTATCTTTAGAAGATATATTCTCTATTTTAGAACATTCGATATATTTCTTCATTCTTAAAATGTTCAATACAAATGTAACTCAGAAATTAGCTGCATAAGAAGCAGGCAAGGTTAGCATCCGATTTTAGCTCCTTTTGTTGTTTAATCTACCCATTTTAATTTGCATACGAAATTTTGTGAAGATTTCAATTTTTTTTTTTTGATTTTCTCTAACAAGTTTTCATTTTGAATTCGGTAGGAATAATGTAATTTTGTTGGCGCAGCGATGATCGGTATACAACTTAATTTATTTCTAATATATTGTGTGTTTCAATTTACATATATGTATATCTACTTACATAGAAAGTAGGTAACTAAGTGCGTCCAATGAATCGTTCTCAACTGCCACATGTAGCGGCGTATTGCCCGCATTGTCTGTAGCGTTGAGATCTGGAAATGAAAAACAAGGAAGTTAATAAATAAACATTTATTCAGAAAATATAGAATATGCTATTTACACTATTAATATCAAAATATTTAAATATATGTATATAAAAAATCAACCTACCTGCACGCTGATCATTTATGTATCGTAAAATATTTACACGATTTCGTGCCGCTGCCTGATGTGCTGCTGTGCGCCCCTTACTATCCCTTATCGACAAACGTCCATTATCCGACTGATATAGCCGCTTAAACTCATCCAAATTTCCTGACTCTGCTGCCTGTAAGTCAGGTAGAAATATAACAAATTACAAAAATGTCGATATTTGATTAGAGCAAGCAACAGTGTATGCTTATGGAGGATGAGGAATATGAGGAATTCGTTCGAATACTGCAATATTCAATATGAATAATTTGCGTAAATATGTATGCATAAGGTTTTCGAACAGGGCTAGCAACCTCAGGGTTTTGTTGTAGCTAGCATGCAGATATGTAATTCAACCAAAAAATGTTTTGAACTCATAGAAAATTAATGATAAGGAGTTGATGAAAAAAGTTAGAAATAAAAAAAAGAAATCAATAAGAGTTCATAAAATCGTAAAAAAAAAATTATTTTTAATATACTTTTTCCTCCAAATACAATGGAAATTGTTTTTATTATTAATTAGCTGTTTTCTTACCATAAAACACCAGTGCGTATACGCAACTTATTTTCCATTTTACCCGCCTTCTAACGATAAAAGGCAGTCATTCCAGCTAAATCAGTTATCTAAACGATTTTAATTAAGTTTTCATACTAATTTTTTTGCTTGCTTCTCACATTGTTAAATGCAGAGAAATATACATACATATTAACATGGATGAGTTACTACAGGAAGTAATGTGTATATATGTAAATATATTTTCTGACACTATTTAGCTTATTAAATTTTTGCAAATCAAAATGTCGAAAGTATACCAAACCTACGCATTACATATTATTCATAATTATATTACAAATTTCTGTTATAATCAATATGTATGCTTGTAGTTGTTGAAGCTATGAAGAGGAGTAAATGTGTATGATAATATTATAATAATTATAAACAAACAGAACTGTGGGCAAGTGAATAAGCTGAGTCTAAAAAGCTAGTTGATTGAGGGTTTGAAACGTTGGCAATTCGAAAGTTATATAAAACCTCTGTGATAACGGAACTCGTTAGCTGTCTGTTCTTAAGAAACACACCTAATATGACTGCCTAAAAAAGTGATTAAAAAAAAAGAACTACTGCATTAAATGTTGAGAACAAATTATTAATTAATAATTTAATATACACAAAAAAATTTAATTTTTAGCGAGTTATTCGCCTTTTTCCAAGTCACTAAAAAATTGTCTTCATTGCTGCAGTGATGGCGTCTTCGCCGCGTTAGTGCCAATACAGTGTTTGATAGTGAAAAAAATTTAAATTTAAGAGAGTAGTGGGAGCTTTTGCTCTAAAATGAGATGATTTTTGGTCCGCCAATTTTATATTTTTCATACAATCGAAAAACTCAAAGACCATTGTACTGAGAAATATACAAAATATAAGCATTTTAAAAATAAACAGATTAAGCTGAGCGACTACACTTTTAGAAAGTTGTAGCCAAAAATATTTGAAATGTTTATTTAAAACATAATTATACAATTTTTCAAGGTACAGACTATCGAAATATGTTAAAAAACATTGATTTTTTTTTGGAAATTTCACAGTAGGTGTACCCCTTTGAGAGGGTATTCTAGTCTAGTGTCCCGAATTTCGAGCGTTTTTCTTCCTTTATTGAGTAAAAAAAAGAGGGTAAAGAAATTGAATTCTACCTTTGTGGTCATCTGAGTAATAAAACAATGATGTATTCTTGATTAGTACAAATGTCGCTTTCTCAAAAAGCTGGAAAACTAAAAAAAAAATTTTATTCATAAAATGGCAGCTACTCAATAATAAATTGGTCGATTTTTAAAAAAATATTACAAATTTAAATTATTTATTTATAAATTATAAATTAATTTTTTACTGCTTCATGTGATAGAGAGATATTTAAGGGGTTACATGGGTCTTATAACTTGAAATAAGGTCGTTTTTCTGGATTTTTTGTCTGAAGCTACAACATTATTTTTATATGTTTTTTTGTTACACGTATGTATAATGTCAACGTCATGAACAAAAATTTGCATAAAAATTTATTCTAAATTTAATCGTTAACAGCGCCTTAAACTAACGCCAGCGTCAGAATTTTTGAGAAAAGCACGTTTAAAGCCCGTCTCGGTCGAGTCGAGTCGACCGTAACTACGAGCTTTAAATATCGTCTATATATCTAGAAATTTGGTTCGGATCGGCTTGAAATTTTCAATATTCCTAATGAGTTGGACAATTGAATAAAGTTTCGTCGCCAGTTCAAGGAAGATATGTGGAAGATATTTGTGAATGTCTAAACTATCGATTTATTAAAAAACAAGTTTTTGGTTTTTTAAAATTCCTAGACTAGAATACCTAGCATATTTCTAATATGAAAATATATCGAATAAAATCCATCAACACCTAAGAAGCAACATGAAACCCACAGTTCGTTCCAATTTTCATTACGGGCCAATTAAAGTATAAGGAAGATTGGTCAAACTTTCAAAAAATTAATTTGAATCGCTCGGCACCAAGTTACAATTGTGAGTTGAGGCTTGGATTTCATTAATTACAAAACAAAAAGAATAAAAAAATCATATTAATCCTCATTTTCTAAGTTTTATGAAGCGTTATAACACCGCATACAATGAATTATGAATACTTTGCTTTAAGATGATGAATATTTAGTTTTAAGATAAATAAACGATAAAATATTTGTTTGAGCTTCTTATATAACTGATGCGAAAAAAACTATTTGAAAGCAAGAGAAAATTTGTAATAAATTAAAAAAATTTCACTAATTATTAAAAGAAGCGTCAACAATTTCTAAGCTGAAATGAGTTGAATCAAGGATCGCCATGAGGTATACGTAACCTTTTCTCAAACGATTACAAGTAACAATTCTATAATTCCTTTTGAACAAATGAATTAATACTTATGTAAATATATACACTTAATATATAATATACATTTTATATATTTAAATAATTTTTTTTTCATAGAATTTTATTTCACCACGAACAAATTGTTTTTAGAAGAACGCGATATAATGCCAAACGTATAATTGCAATAATTAGCTACCGTAAACCTACAAGAGTGGAACATACTGAAACATTATGATACATTTCTTTTACACGCACTTAAAGTGTAAGTTTCTCATTTGAATTACTCTGTTAAACTATATTTTCAATAGCGTGCAGAAAACTGGAGCTTATAACTAAGTACGTGTGTATATTTAATGCTATGGGTATAACCCCACCACACATCACATACATACAACAGTAAAAAAGTTATATCCTCGTAAGTGTGATTTTCTGTCATCGTCGGTCAGTAAGCCCGTAAGACTTCGCTGCTCTCTTGTGTGGCTGATTGGCTATTTGTCAGTTTGTTATTGAAAGTGCTTGTGGTAAATTAGAAAAAAAAAACCGTAAGCAGTTAACCCTAAGTGCACTTATTAAAATCAGCAAATGCAATGCTATAAAAATGTGTATTAGAGCGGAGCGGTTTTGTCGAAAAAAAAATATTTTTTAAATTATAAAAGAAAATTTGTTATTGGTGTAGATGAATACAGGTAATGATCGAAGAATTAGTCAAAATATTGATTTTTGACAAAATGGCGCCTTCTCCAAAACAAAAGTCGTCTTTTGTTCCAAATTTTACACTACAGAGTGACTTAAAAAATCTAAATTATTATCAAAATTTTTATGCCTTCGATTATTACTTGACGAATATACATATTTATGGTAAGAAGGTCGTGGGAAAATGTCAAGCCGTTTGTTGGTTTAGCCGTTTCATAGAAATTTTGCTCACCAACTCTAAAAACAGCGGTTCGATAAAAACTTGAAATAAAATACGCAACCTTAAATAGATTTAATACATGGCATTGGAATGCTTAGACCCTCTTTATCATATGTTCATATATAGGATATATTAGGAGTATTTGTTATATAATTTTTTATAATATAATGACATACTTAAGAATTCTAATGTGTAGTGTACCTTATGACAAATTCAATGATGCTAATTTGTAAAAGGTACAATTTCAAAGGCAAAAAGTATTGCCACAAATAGCTTTGAAAATGAAAATGGCAACAGTTTAAATGTCATAGTTAAAGTTTACGACTGTCATTAAATTTGACATATTGACAACGCCGTTTAGTAAAGGTAAAGTTGTGATTTTATTTCGCACTGTCCAAAATGTAAAGAAAATTTATATTTAAATGTTTATCAACTATTTTTAAAGCAGTCACAAAATGAACGGTAATAATGACGGAATTATGAAAGGATTTTGTCAATATTCTGTTTTTGTGAAAAAGTAAAGTGAAGTAAATAATATTATTTTTTTGTTTCTTAAAATTGTATTATGTCTTACACTCCGAGGTTAACATACGAAAATACTTGTCAAATACATTTTTTTTAATTTGTTTATTGTAAATGTTTGCTTTAGTTAATTTTCTGCTGTGATCTTTTAGTTGTTTGCGATCCACTCTAATGTTATTGCAGCCATATAAACTTGAATGCAACGCTGTCATTAAATAAAGTTGAGACGAGAGAGAAAGAAACACATTCAAATGATTGTACAAATTACCCAAAACAAACAAAAAACGGAAGGAAGGATATTAAAATAAATGCAAGCTATTTATTAAACACAATTGTAGTTACTCGGTGCCAAATTTGTAAAAACAAAGGGAAATTTCCTTTTGTAAATGCAATATGTCTAAAAAAATTGGCTAAAAATTGTGTTGGCAAGCTCTGTTCGCGCATTAAACGCATTTTTTGTGTTCAAAAATATTAGTTGATCATTGGTGATTTTTATATATGATGTATTGTAATATTATATGTATATATGTAGGTATACACACATGAGTACAGAAATTTTACAGTCACTTAAAGTTGCCAAACAGTCGATGCCATCACTTGGCTTACGAAGCTGCAGTTGACAGTTTGTCCACATAACTACACAAACACTTTCCAGTGGCCTTATGGTATATACTTGTATTTTTTTTTAAATTTTTTATATTATACATCTGCAACTATACGTATAACATACATATCGATTATATATTATTCATGGTAGTTTTCAAATGATTTTCTTGTTTGTGAAATGATAAATCGAAAGCTAACAAATCTAATACGCGATGAAATGCCGGCGACCGTGGTAATCAAAAGAAAATACACGGCATGGTAAAGGAAGTGATCTATAATATACCATGTCAATGTTGTGTCCAAAAAAAAATTTATGGAAAGTGTAGTGGGTTTAGGTGGGAAAAATCTAACACCTTCAGTATTGACGTCGCTAGTCATAGTTTTGATCTAATTTTTCTGAAATTGTGCATTTAAATATCCGATAATTGGAGCTTAGTTATAACACTTTATATGTTTTCCATTAATACATTTTTGTAGGCGTGGCAAAGGTCTGATTTCGCCCATCTGCAATACCAAGCCTCCTTGGGCGCCAAGGAACATATTATATGTACCATGAAATACCGTTGTTGTCCTGCTCCGTCATGTTGCACTGGGAACCAAACTACTCAGTTTCTAGTACAAAAATTCCGTAAATGTCTGGTGTCGAAAAGAGGCATTGATAATTTGAAAACGCAGCAAAACAACGATGCGACCACACTTTTTATACAAGAAAATTTAAAAATTTTAGATACGCGCAATTTTTCTGGTTTTCATGAAGCTTTTTGCAATCGAGAAATAGTGTTAATTACTATGGTTCACATGCGTATGTATGTACCACATTGTTTACTATGTGTTGCAGAAGTTGATTTTGGTATAAGCAAGTTTGCCTCTGGAAATCTCTTTTTTCTTATTCTTTTTTATCATTTTTTTCTCCCATGCACATTCTCCTTAAGCGTGTTCAATGCTGCACTAACGATGCTGAAAACAGAGTTACGTAATTGAAGTCACTGCCATTGGATACCATGTGCGGTTATTTAGTCAACATGGCTGGCACAGCTGAAAGCCTTTGGCCGTTATGTCCTTCAACAATTGCAATTCTATCTTATCTACTAGAATACTATGTATTGTCTGTTGCAGGCAATTAAATTGCTATTCTTTGCCTAATAAGTGATGTATGAATGAGAAGTATACAACGGTAATTGTGCGGGACTGATTGATACTTTTATAGATATTACTTGTATCCTACATTGCAGGTGTATTGTGTATACAAGTTTCGATTGGAGATTAACGTAAAATTTAATCAAATTTGTTGCCCTACTAAGACAACAGCTAATGAGCTATAAATTTTTGTGAGCGAAAAAAAATAATTGCAATTTCAGTGAAAACATACGATTTGAAGCGTTGAGTCCGAGTTTGGTTTTAAAATATAATTTTTTTGGAAGTCGGAGTCTTTTTCGAGAAATACGTTCTATACGTAAGGGTAATTATTATTATTATTGTAAGAAATTCCTATTTGACCCAATCAATTAGACTTGTTGGACCTGTTACAATAATTGACATTTATGAATGTCTCTAACTGTAGACGTGGAATAAGTGACTGTATCTCTTTGTTAGCGATTTTCCTTAGAAGAAGAAAGGTTTTCCTCCTATTTATGTGTGGCGTCTTCATTCTAACCTACAAATGGAAGGTCAAGCGATATTTTAAACTGCCGCTAAATTTAATCATATCAGAAAAACATCTGTGGGCCTCTTCGCCGGCTTCTATAATTTGTGATTTTGCAAAGCCGCTTCTCTTACTCTACAATATTCCATGCGATGGGTATCATATAATTAACCCATTACTCATAACGACCAACAGCATTTAGACTATCTCTACATGCCAGGCTCTTTAGGCTTTTTGGCATTCATCACATATTCAGCTTCGGAAAGAGATTGCGCTGAATACAACAGCACCTGGAGGGTGCTTAGTGTGGAGTAGAACCCAAAATGCGCTTAGAAATCTAATACGTTTATACAAATGCCCTCAAGTCTAGTCGCATATTGATCACCCCTATCGTATGTAATATGCCGTTACTTCGTTGTTACGTGGGCAACGTCATAAATCATAAATTTCAGCCAAAATTCTTCACTGAACACATCAATCAAATTCGGATCGACAAAACAGCAAAAGGCACAGTTATTTTGTGTAGCAACATATTGCACCGGTGGCTGTTGTTTCTGTTTCTAAGCATCTGCTCTTGTTACATAACGTACACATGTTATTTGCACGCCGCTCTAATTGGTTAGTATTATTCTTATTTACCCGAAGCCACTCTTCAGTTACCTGAGTACATAAGTACACTATACTTTAAAATTGCTCTTTAAAATTAAAGAAATTTTATTTTATCCTTGTTTACCTGCAGTAAATCGTCAGGTCGTATTTTTGGTGTTGCCTGCATCCGTAACATTCGTGTCCACTGTGTCGAGAGTTTTAACGGTGCTGTTATACCTAATTCGGCACCACGCGCACATCCATTAATTAAACAACGTAGTGGTCTTACAACAACATCACGTTTTGATGTATTTTTCATTTTATTTCACAATCCGGCTTTGATACGAGTATTTATGTACTCAAGTATACGTGATGAACCGATGACTGGCGATTAATTTAAATACTTTTCGCTGTGTTTTGATTATTTATTTGTTGTATATTTAAGAATTTGCGGAGTCATTAATTCAAACGTTTAGCAGTTAGGTTTCGCACCGTTTTTGAAATTTGTTGAAGTTTTTAAATTTTGTATTAATTTTTTTTTATAAAGTATTCTTTTTTTTTGTATACAAAACAATTTTTTTAACAAAAATATATTTCAAAATTTACTGTTACATTATTTTCTTGACGTTAACTGCTATTTTGTGAGTGTAATAATTTTTTTTTTTTCAAATTGTATTGTAAATTAATGAATTTTAGATAGAAATTTGTTATCTTAAAGACTTTCGATAATATTTACAAAATTAAAATTCAGAAAAAATGAGGAAAATTTTTGCGATCACCCTTTGTCAAAAATACTTGTAATTGAGTATAGAAAAAGCGGTGCGAACTCATAATAAAAAGTTAGTCGACTATGAGGAGGCTGACAGTATAAAATAAAAAAAAAGCTTCCATAAGCATTATAGAAAATATTTAAAAATTTTACCTCATACAACTTAGGTTACAGCTCACAAAAAATAAGTATAATTAGTGCATTTTCTTCTTAAGAGTCTTTTATATTAGGGTGATCCAATAATGTGACCTTAAAATACTAAACCTCAACAAATACCTCTCTGCCTATTCGACCTCACTACAACAGCTCGTTTACTGGGCCTACTGTTCGTTGACTTCGATAACAGTTAATATATGCTTTCTACCAAGCAGGGTCTAGATATTTCGTTACAACTACAAGTCCAAGGTAGTCGTAACGGCCACCGAATTAAAGAAAGACGGTCCTATTTAACGAAGAAAACGTGCTCCTCCACCATGGCAAAGCATCGGCTCAAATCTCAGCCGTCGCCACGGCGAAAGCTTTGGTAGCTACAATCGCACAACTAACTACAGAGCAATCTTTTTAACTATTGTGTTCGAAAGATTTCCGTATTTTATAGCGTATGGAAAACGGAAGAAAATTGGTTTCTTTAAACTTCCTACACCTGAAGGTATCTCCACGGCTTTGGCTTTTTGGCAAGAATATGAAATATTCCTTTGCAACCGAACTTAGCCCTTCCTTACTTGTTTTTTTTAATTTCAAATTTTTATGAACAATTTAATTTCGTTAAGTGCTTAAGGTCCGCACTTCCAAGGTCAAGCAATAATACGAGTAAAATACGACCAAATGTAGAACAAAATCTAAGCTCTTGCACCGAAATGTATTACAAGCGCTTGCAGCAAAGCAAATATTTTTACGAGTATGCTTCCAGGTTCCACACTCACCACAAACGGCTTAATTAAAATGATTTAGAGAATTCAATTTGCACTCGGCCTCAGTCATTTTGACACAATTAAATGCAGTAAATTTAATTAGAAAATCTCTGAAACTACAACAATTTGGATGTTTTCAGTTTTCCCATGACTTTAAAATTACTTGTTGTTGTTGCACCTACTTGGGAGCACTTAAAATATGCAATATTCTTTCTTTGTTGTTCCATTGTTTTGCTTTTCTTCGCATTCTCGCTGTCACTTCGCATTACGCTGGCAAATTGAAAAAGGTAGCAGTTTTGGCAGCTAATAGAGCCCATTATTTACATATCTATGTATATACAAGGATATATATGTATGTTAGGGTGTCCGCTCAAACGACCCCTGTAGTCTCAGTTTTTGCCCTAAAACGAGAAGCCAACGTAAACAAGCTATATATTTTCTATTTAAACCGTAGCTAATTTATATAACTGTTCCCATATATAAACATAGGATTTTTGATATTTTTGCATTATATGCTAATACAAAATATTCAGCTGTATGAAAAAGATTTTAATTATTTTTTTCACAGAAACATTTCTTTAAAAGTTATACGCAGTTAAAGTTATTCATTAAAAGCACTGAGCATTCATACAAGTGCCTTGTAAATTCTGTGTTGCTCATACGACACGGTGTACTATATGAATACAGTACATTTGATGCAAAGGATGAACTACGTATAACTTTTAGACCGAAAATTTTTTTATTAGAAGAGCAAAAACTGAAACTTTAGGGGGCGTTTGCAAAAAATACAAATAAAAATCAACTAGGGGAAATAACGGACACCCTAAGGTATACAAATATTTCTGGCGAATTTGTTCATTTAGCCGTTTGCTTTCGAGCAATTTAATGTTCATGTTTGTATTATTCAAAATTTAAGTATTTTGGGGAAATAAAAATATTTTTTTTGTTATTCATATTAGATTTCTGTTAATATTAACAATCAAATTGTCAAAAACCAGCAAAGCTTTAAATTGAATTAAATTTGGTGCTTTTTTCAATTCTTGTCAATGAAAAACTATTTAAAGTAGTAGCGCCATTATATAATTCTACGCTGGTCTTTTACTAGCTGATATGGAAAAATTTTGAAATTTTGGATGCCTTCAAATTACTCTGCGAACATTTTTTGGTATATAATTTTTATTTTCCTTCAGATCTCAACCAATTATTCAGCTTTTTTTCAGTATGATGCCTTCAATTGAAAAGCTAAGAGCTCGTAATTTTGCAGAATAGGCCTTTAATTCATACTTAACAATGACAGTGAAAATTAAGAAAATCGAACAGCTATAATACGTATCTCCCATACAATCAATTATTCAGAAAGACAGATGACTTTTTTCTTGTCTCTTCGAGTTTTTATTTGAAATTTGTAATTCACAAAATAAATTGTTACGAAAATACACTGATCTGGTCGAATCCCATAAATGATCAATTGAATGTCAAAATGCATCTATGTAATAAATTTCATTCGAATATATTTTTATAATCCCTAAAAATTAAACTTCACCAAAAAAAAATCGCTAGCTCGAAACCAGTTTTAGACCCATATTCTCTTAGGCAAAGTTGTTCAGAATGAACGTAGAATATTTCTCGCATATGCGAATTTTCCGTTTTTTTGGCTTCCTGAAAATCAACCCGCTCTAATGTACACATACTCTTACGTGTCATTAAAGCAGTATGAAAACTTTTTATTTTATCTCGATTTTATTATATGAGTCTATTTGTGTTACGTAGTGTTTGTTCAATTCAACGAAAACGGCTTCTTTTAAAATCACTCGTGAATTAAATTTACTGGGGGTTTTTTCTTCTAATTACTTATATGCATACATTTTAATGTTTTATGGACAATATGAGGACGTTTTTTATAGCAAGAAATCTGCGAGAAGACTTTTGAAGGAAAACATTCGTATATACAATATATACAATTATGTAGGCAAATGAACAGCAGGAGCACTCATATGCCAAATATCGTGTATGTTTCCGTCTTTTACTTAAGAAAGTAATTGATACTTTCACTTGTTTGAATTCCTAATTAACCAAGATCACCTTTGGTCTGTTATTACTTCGTTGACGAGACTCATACCTGCCGCCTTTGTGGCTATCAGTGTGGTAATATATGCAATTGAATGTTCAAAGCAGAGCAATATAAAATATCTTGTAACATTTCTTAATATCAAATTTGTAATATGATTATTATTAACATGTATATATGTATAGTATAAATTAGTCTCTATTTGAAGTTTTTTGAATAGATTATTATTTTTTCTTCTATGGTAATGACTATCAACTCATATTGAACCTGAATTTTGCTTGTTAAATAAAACTTAATGAATAAAATATGCTTTCATTAGTCCTATGAATCTTGAATTTTATAATAACCTTGAATAGTAAATCATAATCAGTTTGCTCTCTAAAATGGTAAGGCGCATAAAGAAATAAATACATAAGTACGAGTATTGTCCTCGATGTTAACATTAGGTTTGCCACGAAGTTTGTAATATCCAGAAGGAAACGTCGAAGGTGCTATAATATATATATATATATATATATATACATATATAGACAGCCATGGCTGAATATGCGCGAACTATCAAAACTCCTCACGGATTATTTCGCAAGACAATGGCACAATTTTCAACGAAATTGTGGAGATCGAACTACTATAGCATATAAGCTGCCATTTCAATTGACCTCTTAAAATCCATACAAAGATCTTTTTATACCCTTTTATGCTATAAGAAATATGCCTGTAAGGTGTATTATAGCTTCGGTGCAGCCGAAGTTAACGTTTTTTATTAAATATTTTTATATTTTTTTAACCTTTAACGAAAACTAATTCGATTCAAACAATATTTTAGAGTCCAATCCTAAAACCTAATAAGTAGTTGTTATTTATTTATTATTATTTTAGGGTCAGTATTATGAAAAAATTGAGATCCCAAATTTTTGATAGTTAAGAAATAATAACAATACTATTTTTCTGTATTGTTAAACCAAAAAAAAAAAAAACATATACATTTTAATAAAAGCAAACAAATTCCGAAAAATGTATAGAACTTGATGTGAAGTAATAATTTCGAAATTTTCGCTCGTTCTGTTATTTTTTTAAATTTTGTATATTATATTTTCTAGAGGATTAGCATTAATTAGTGGTTTCAAAATTCATTAAAATTAATTTATATTATTACTAAATAAATTTTTATTAATTTCCGTATACAATGTATTTAATAGTTTGCTGATTTCAAATATTTAAAAAACTCCATTAAATATTTATCACATTTTCTCGCCTTATATATTTATTATTTTATTGCACATATTGCATATATCTTTTGCATAAATGCTTACATATGCAATTTTATTGCAGCAAACACTCACGTCAAAAAATGTTCAATCAAATCTCAAACCAAAACTGCTTCATATATTTTTATTTTATTATATTGTCATTTATGAATTTTTTTTGCACTTTTATAAAATGAATAATTGTTTAAACTCTTATATATTAATTATATTGAATTTGATAATTCAAATCACTTTATATAATTCAATTTAATTCGGTAGTTCAACGTTTAAATTTTACAATTGCTTTTTAGCGAAACGTACTTTTGAATAATTCGCGCCGAACTGAAAATCTAATGCCGCTGTTGCTTGCTTTTATAAGCGCAACGCTCTCCTTATGTGCCCCGCATTTACAAGCATATCATGAGTATCCTTTCGGGATGTGCGTGTTGTGCAACATTGCGTGCGCTATGGTGAGTTTTTGTTCACCACTGCCCAGTTGTTTGCACCTTCCCATTTATCGTGGAACTTTGCTTTACTTTTTATTTGAAGCTTTCGTTTTGTTTTG